GCCGTGCTGGAGGAGGCCACGCGGCAGCTGGGCCAGGCCCTGCGCGAGTGCCGCGAGCTCGGCCGCCGCGCCGACGACTCCATCGCACAGGCCCAGCGCGCGCTCGGCCGCCGCCAGCACGGCGACTTCGGCTTCTGAGGGGAGCGGGGCGCGGCCCCACGCAGGCACCGCGGGCTGGGGCCGGCATCGCCTGGGCTGTGGGAGCCCAAAGGTGGGACTGGAGAAACCCCAAAGCCACCAGAGCCAAAGCCACCATCATCGGAGCCACAGGACCCCAAAAATGGAGCCAGGAGAACACCCAGAGCCACAAGTCTGAGCTGTGGGACCCCAAAGGAGGGACTGAAGAACCCCCAAAACCACTAGAGCCCAAAGCCACCGTCATGGGAGCCACAGGAGCCCAAATATGGGGCCAGGAGAACACCCAGAGCCACAAGTCTGAGCTGTGGGACCCCAAAGATGGGACAGGAGAGCCCCCAAAGCCACCACAGTACAAAGCCACCATCATCTGAGCCACAGGACCCCAAAAGCGGGGCCAGAAGAACACCCAGAGCCACAAGTCTGAGCTGTGGGACCCCAAAGATGGGACCAGAGAACCCGCAAAGCCATCACAGCCCAAAGCCACTGTCATCTGAGCCACAGGACCCCAAAAACGGGGCCAGGAGAACCCCCAGAGCCATCACGAGTCCAGCTGCTTCATTCCAAACTGTGAGACCCCCAAAGCAGGTCTAGGAGCCCCTCAGTGCCACCCCTGCCCAAGTCCATGCCTGAGCCGTGGGAGCCCAGGAATGGATCCAGGAAAGCCCCAGAGCCCACACTGTCACCGTGAGACCCCCAGAGCCACCACCAGCCCGTCTCCTTCCCCTGCGAGCTGTGGGACCCCCACGCTGGAGCTGGGGTACCCCAGAGCCACCCAGGATCCCCGGGGAGCCACGGGGAGCCAGCCTCGCCTGGGGACATCTCGGGGACAGGGGACGTGGTGGCACTGCGCATTAAACATGTCCTACCCTCGGTGTCCCTTGTCCTGCGGCCTCAGGGGTCTCCACTGCTCAGCCCGCACCCATCGTGTCCCTGTCTTCCACCCCGGGGGACACGAGGTGACACGGGCATGGTGACGTGGAGCCCACTGCCCACCCGCCGTGTCCCATCCCTGGGGACATCGGGGGGGACAGGGGCGGTGCCAGCTGGGAATAAGAGCCGTGAGAGCGGAGCCAGCGCTGGGTTTACTGGGGAGCGGGGACAGGCAGGAGCTGGGGACACATCCAGGACCCTCCTTGGTCACACGGGGCTGGGGGGTGACAAGCGGGGCAGGCCGGGACCGCCGGGGCTGCGTCCATGGGAGCCGTGGTGCCTGCAAAGGGGACACGGAGGGGGCCGTGGTGGCATCCCGCGTGCCCCCGCCCCGCGGGGTCCCGGGGCGCCCCGTACCCACCTAGGCTGGCAGCCCCCGGGAGAAGGCGAACATCCCGGGCAGGTACGGCGTGTCCCCCGCCCTGCCGGCCTCCTCCACCGCCCGGCACTCGGCCTCGTCCCGCTGCCGGATCTCCTGCGGGCACAGCAGGGGCTGGCACCGGCTGGGGACACGCCGGGGACACCGGCGGACACCGGGGGCACCTCACCTTGGCCGCCAGGTGGTGGCTGGGGCCGCAGTTGTGGTACTTGTCCAGCACCTTGGGGACGTCACCGGTGTCGAACTTGTAGCAGGCCAGGCAGGTCGGCTTCCTCTGGGGACACGGTGGGGTGTCACCCCTGGGGACCCCCGGCACCGTCCCCTCTGTCCCGCCCGGCACCCGCAGCAGCATGGGGGGGGGACAGGGGGTCTGCAGGAGGCTGAGGGGCTCTGGGACCCCTGGGATGGGGCCCACGGGGGGTGGAAAACACAGGGATGGGGTCAGGGGATGGGGGACACCCAGGGATGAGCCCCAAGAGGGGACACGCCGGGGACACCGGCGGGCACCGGGGGCACCTCACCTTGGCCGCCAGGTGGTGGCTGGGGCCGCAGTTGTGGTACTTGTCCAGCACCTTGGGGACCTCACCGGTGTCGAACTTGTAGCAGGCCAGGCAGGTCGGCTTCCTCTGGGGACAGGGGGGTGTCACCCCTGGGGACCCCCGGCACCGTCCCCTCTGTCCCGCCCGGCACCCGCAGCAGCATGGGGGGGGGACAGGGGGTCTGCAGGAGGCTGAGGGGCTCTGGGACCCCTGGGATGGGGCCCACGGGGGGTGGAAAACACAGGGATGGGGTCAGGGGATGGGGGACACCCAGGGATGAGCCCCAAGAGGAAAAGGGACACCCGATGTGCCCCAGGGGAGGAGGGACACCCAGGAATGAACCCCAAGGGAAGGGAGACATGCAGGGATGGGTCCAGGGGATGGGGGACACCCAGGGATGAGCCCCAAGGGAGGGGGGACACCCAGGGATGTCACCCCTGGGGACCCCCGGCACCGTCCCCTCTGTCCCGCCCGGCACCCGCAGCAGCATGGGGGGGGGACAGGGGGTCTGCAGGAGGCTGAGGGGCTCTGGGACCCCTGGGATGGGGCCCAAGGGGGGTGGAAAACACAGGGATGGGCTCAGGGGATGGGGGGACACCCAGGGATGGGCCCCAAGGGAGGGGGGACACCCAGGGATGAGCCCCAAGGGGAAAAGGGACACCCGATGTGCCCCAGGGGAGGAGGGACACCCAGGGATGAGCCCCAAGGGAAGGGAGACATGCAGGGATGGGTCCAGGGGATGGGGGACACCCAGGGATGAGCCCCAAGGGAGGGGGGACACCCAGGGATGGGCCCAAAGGAGAGGGGACACCCAGGGATGGGCCCAGGGGATGGGGGACATTCAGAGGCGGGGCCCTTTGGGGGGAACAGGATGTGCCCCAGGGAGATGGGGACACCCTGGGATGTGCCCTCGTGGAGCAGGGACCCCCCACGTGCCCCGGGGAGCAGGGCCAGCCCAGGCCCTGTCCCCGGTGCCCTCACCCGGCCCTCCAGCACGCGGCAGTGCCGCTGCGGCGCTCGCTTGCGGCACGTGGTCTGTGCCAGGCCCAGGCGCAGCTGCACGAAGGTGCCCGAGGGGTCCTCCTGTGGGAACGGGGGTGGCAGGGCATGGCAGGGCCCGGACCCCCGAGGGATCCCCACCTCCGGAGGGGCTCCCAAACCCCTCAGATTCCCAGGGAATACAGCCCCCAGCGAGACCCCGAACCCCAGGGGTGACCCAACCGCCCCCAGAGCCACCCCAAATGCTGGGGGAGACCCTGAACCCCGCAGATGCCAACCCCTGAGAGGGACCCCAAAGCTCCCACAGGAACCCCAAATCTCAGGAGGGACCCTGAGCCCTTGGAGGGATCCTGGAAACCCTCAGGTAAACCCATCCCAGGAATGACCCCGGCGTGCCTCCAAGATGGGCACGTGGCTCAAAGTGGGGGTCCCTGGAGTCCTGGCCCGTCCCAGACTCGGGACAGTGTGCAGGGGCACCCCGGGACAGCCCTGGCTCTGGGGGCAGCGGGATCAGCTCGGATCCGTTAATGAATAACCGAGCTGAGCCTGGCCAGCAGGGCTGGCCCTGTCCCGGGGCACCCCGGGCACCCCGGGCGTCCCGGCACCCGCCTGCTCCCTGTGGGACACCCGACCCCTGTGGCCATCCTGCACCCCAGCCCTGAACCCCCATCCCAAATCCCAGCCCTGAACCCCAATCCCAAATCCCAAGCTCACCTGCTCGACCATCCCGTCCATCTCCCATTCCCTCTGGGACACCCCCATCCCCTCTCCAACCCTCTGTCTGTTCCTCCTGGGACACCCCAACACTCTCCCCACTGCCACGGTCATCCTGGACCCTGAACCCCAATCCCGGATCCTGTTACCTCCATACTCGATGACCCCGATCACCTGTGCCCCCTCCGGGACACCCTCCCGTGCTCCCTGCCTGCTCCCCCCGTTCTCGTGGCCATCCTGAACCCCCAACCCTCCATCCCGACCCCAGTCCCTGCTCAGCCCCCGGATGCCCCTTCCACCGCTGCTCCCTCCCGGGCGCTCCGTCCGCCCCCCGTTCCCCCGGGGCCCCGAGCCCCCTCCCCTTTGCCGTGGCCATCCCGGCTGCCAGGGGCGGCTCCGGGCGCGGGTCCCGCTCCTCACCCGCTCGATGACCCCGTCCAGCTCCCGCTCCTTGAAGAGGAAATGCACGTTGCTGCGCCCGTGGAAGTAGTCGAGCACATCGCGCACCACGCGCCGCTGCAGCGGGGACTGCCCCGCGGCCCCCGCCGCCGCCCGGGCCGCCGCCAGGGCCAGCGGCAGCCACAGCCACAGCGGCAGCCCCATCCCGCCGGACACGGCCTCACGGATCCGCGGGCCGCTGGCACGAGCCCATTTCCTGGGATCTGCCCCCAAATCCGCCCCCGGGACGGCCCCGCGGGTGACCCCCCCCCAGCCCGCGGGGCGCGGGAGGAGGGGCCGGGATGGGATGGGGATGGGATGGGATCCGGGTGGGGTGGGATCGGGGTGGGATCGGGAGAGACCCCGGGAACGGCGTCATGGGCTGCTGGGAATGCCATCCTGCCCTGGCAACACCGTCCGGCCCCGGGAACCGCTCCTGCCCCCCGGGAACGGCTCATGTCCCACCGGGAACGGTTCATGCCCACCGGGAATGGGCTGCTGGCTCCTGGAAATGGGCTCCTGCCCCCCGGGAACGGCTCCTGCCCCCCGAGAACGGCTCGTGCCCACCGGGAACGGGCTCCTGCCCCACGGGAATGAGCTACTGCCCGCCGGGAACGGGCTCCTGCCTACCGGGAATGGGGTCCTGCTCCCCGGCAATGTTGTCAAGTGAGAGTGACATTCTGCCCCCAGGAACAAACTCCTGATAGCGGCCATGGGCTCCTGTCCCCCGGGAATGGCTCCAGCCCCCGGGAACGGGGTCCTGCCCCGGGAACGGGGTCCTGCCCCAGGAACAGCCTCCCGCTCTTCCCGCTGTCCTTGTCCGGGTGTCCCCTCCTGGGAGCAGGACTGGGGAGGAGGGGGGTGCTGAGAGCCGGGGGATGGAGTGGGGGGCGCCGGTGGGCACCGGGGGGTGCGCCTGGCACTGGGGGCACTGGGGCTGTACTGGGGGGCACTAAGGGACAGTGGGGGGACACTGGGGTACCCTGGGGGGGCGGGGTCTCTCCGGCCCCCCCATCCCCTGGCGGCTGCGCTGTCCCGCGGCGCCGCTAGGGGGCGGTGCCCCCGCGCCCCGCCCCCCGACCCGGAACGGGGCGCGGCCGCGGCTGACACCATTACGTCACCGAGCGCGCTGACGTCACCGCGCGCGTGACGTCAGCGCGCCGCGGGGCAGCGGCCGCCCGTGAGTTTCCCGGGAGGGTCCCGGGGGTCGCGGTCACGTGGCCCGGGGCGGGGGGCACGGCCCGGGGG